CCCCAGAGCCCCCAGGGGGCTCCCCAGCTGCTGGGTGGGCGGGCCAGCCGCATGCGTGGGGAGAGGGCTGCTGGCAGGGGGGCCCCCAGGGGCCCTTGAGCTGCCCCAGGGGGCCCCCCGCTGATGCTGCTGCGCTGCTGCTGGACTTGGATGATATCGCGGGGGCCTTTGGACAAGAGACTCCGCCCCACGTGGAGGGGCCCCAGGGAGGGTCTTGTGAAAAGACGCAGTTTGGGTCCCCCGGGGGGCCCCCCCAGCAACCTCGCCAGGGGGCCCCCCAGGGGCCCCTGGGGCCCCCAGGGGCCCCCCAGGGGCCCCTGGGGGCCCCCCAGGAGGGCTGGCGCTGGGGGGCTCCTGGCACTTTCTCGGGGGCGCAGGAACTGCAGCAGCAAATGCTCTCTCGGGGGAGCCCGGCAGAGGGGGCACTCAGGGACCCTGCTGCTGCTGCTGCTGCTGCTGCTGCTGCTGAGGAGCGTTTCAATTGCCGTGCCGACTGGGCAAGTGCAGCAGCAGAGACTTTGCGGGGTGTCTGTACACCCCACGCAGACTCCCCCGGAGGCGGAGGGGAACCCACTAGTGCTTCTGAGAGCCGTGGCACCGCAGCAGCAGCAGCAGCTGCTGCTGCTGCTACTGCTGCTGCTGCTGCGAGGGCCGGGACGCAGGAAGCGGGGGGCCCCCCCTTCTGGCTGTTTGGAGCTGTTCTGGACGCTCGGGAAAGTCTTGGGGAGGGCGGGGAGTGGGAGCTGCTGGTGACGGACGGCCTGGGGGTTTTTGCTGCAGCTGCTGCAGCAGAAGCAGCAGCAGCAGTAGTGCAGCAGGTGCAGCAAACGTCGCTGGTTCCCCCCCTGCCGCAGCTGGAGAGGCTGAGGAACGCCCAGGGCCACTTTTTGCTACAAGTTAAAGGAGAAGATCCCAAAAATCAAACAGTTCATATTTTGGCTTTCCGGGCGAAGGCGCCGCGGGAGGAGGTCAAGGAAAAGTTGAATTTCCTGTTGGCCCTGTTGGCTGGAGAGCAGCAGCAGCAAATCCTAAACAAATGAAGCAGGTGGCGAGCCAAAAAGCGCTGCAGCAGCTGCCGCAGCAGCAGCAGCTGCTGCTGCTGCTGCAGCAGCTGCAGCAGCCGCTTTCTTCTTCCCGCAGGCACTTATTTAAGTTTCCTCCTCCGCCGAAACGCAACTGGAAAGGCAGAAGCTAGCCCGGTTCTTTTCCCCTCCGCGTCTTCTCTTTTTGAGTTGAATTGGAAGTAAAAAATTGATTTTGAAATTCATCTCTTTTTTTGTCGCGGAACGCGTTCGTTTCGGGTGTATGGGCAGCTCGCTGCCGACGCCCGTGGCGCCAGAAGGCGCAGAACGCACGCAGATCTGAAACGCCGCAAACGAAAGTTTTATTTATTTTTATTCTTCTTATTTGCCGGAGTTTATTCTTTTTCTGGAACGATGCAAAGCATTCAGAAGCTGCAAAGCGGCGCCGGGCAGCGGCTGCGGTCGCAGTACTTGTATTCAAGTTTCCGCCGCGTCGTTGCGAAACTTGTGGAATCCGCCTTCGCTTCTTCGTGTTCCCGCGTGGAAATTTTCGTAAATTTTTCGAATTTCGAACTGCGAGTTTGCGACAATGGGTGGGCTGTTTTCATTTTATTGATTCCTTTTCTCGTTTTCTGATTTCCTGCTGCTTCCCGTTGCGATCTGCAGCAAAGGCGTTGGCGCGGCGGAGTTGGAGGCGATCCGGTCGGCCTGGCTCGCGCAGTCGAGTCTGTCTGAAGGAACCTCGAGGTGAGTTAATTTGAATTAAATTAAATAAAATTAGTTTTTATAGGCAATTTTGGGCTTTCGGGGGCTGCAGCGCAGCAGAACTGGCGCTGCTGGCGCACGTGGGGGATTTGCAAATTGTCTCGCGGGAAGCTGGAAAGCCCGAAACCCTGCAGCTCGCGCTGCCCCTCCCCGCCACAGTTGCTGCATGCAGCCCCCGCAGCAGCTGCGGGACTTCCGTGTCTCTGTTGAATTTCTTTAAGGGCAGTCCGGTGCGGCGGCTGGCGCTGAACGCGAAGCGCGAGGCCGAGTTGCTGCAGCAGTTCGCAGTCGCCGCAGCAGTGTGAGTTTGGGAAACCAGTGGGCAAATTTAGGCCATTTTAAGCCCCCAGAGGCTCATTTTAAAGCTCCCAGCGCCCAGTTCGACACAGAGTGAGAAATAAATCCAACAAAAATTAAAATACGGAAAAAAAGGCTTCTGGCTGCAGCGTCGCTGCAGCCACAGACGCCAACACCCGCCTGCTGCTGCCCGGCCGCAGCAGCTTCAAGGAAAGAATTGCGCAAATCTTTGTGAGATCAGAAACGGACTAAATTAATTTCTTCATTTTCTTCAAGTCCAAACTTGCAGGGAAAAGGAACCGCAAGCCATTTCGTGAGAGACTGGACTTGCATTAAATGCTGCAATCGAGTTTCAATTCTTTCAACTCCTGAAGCTCTAAATGCCTCAGTTGACCTTCAAATGTTTTGTTTGTATTTTATTTTATTTTATTTTATTTTATTTTATTTTATTTTGCGTAAAATGAAAATTGCTGCAGGAGGAGTTCTCGGCGAAAGGCGAAACTGCCAAGGTCGAGGGGCTGATAAGAAAACGAACGGGGAGTGAGTGACTGGAACTTGTCGGATTTTCCTTTTCTGCCGTTTCTTTTGCGGGATCTTTTTTCTTTTCTTCTTCTCTTCATTCATTTTTATTTAATTTATTTATTTTTCTCAAGATCCCGGCGTTCGGCGCATTCGCTTTCTCTCCGTGGGGCCATTTCAACTTTTCGCGCTGCTTGCGAATTTGAACAAGTTGAATTCAGTTCAACGGGCGGCCTGTGCAGTGTCTTGCCATCTCTTCTTTGGTCGACAGCATGCAAGCCATTTGTTTTCATTAAATTAATTAATTTTATTTAATTTCATTTTCGATTACTCGCCCTCAGCGCGCACGCGGCGCGCCCAGCAGCCGAGATCGGCTTGCAGCTGCAGCGAAACAAAGACTCGCGCCCGCCGCCAGCAGTAAGCAGCCACTTCGAAAGCTTATTTGAATTCTTTTTTAAAATTAACTTTTAGGAATTTGTGGTGGCTGTGGAGCTCCCCGAAGAAGCCGCGGAATGCATCGACGACGAGCCCTGGCGTGAGTGCAGTCCGCCGTTTCCGCCTCCGCTGCAGTCTGCAGCAGCTGCTTCTTCTCTTTACTTCTTCCAGCTTTGTTTCGCTGCTCCGACTGGGCCGGAGTGAGTCCATTTGCCTTTGAAATGCAGCAGCAGAGCCCCCTGCTGCGGCTGTGCTGCTGCTGAAAGCAGCAGCAGAGCCCCCTGCTGCGGCTGTGCTGCTGCGGCTGTGCTGCTGCGCCTTTCGCTACTTCGCAAGCAACTCCCGCGCTGCTGCAGATCCTGTTTCTTCTCTCCCACGCAGTCCACGGCGCCTTGAAGCCAGGCAGCAGCAGCAGCAGCAGCAGCCGCAGCACGTAAGCGCCTCAAATAAAAAAAAAAGAAACTTGAAACGGAAAAGCTGCGGCCTCAGGACCCAGTGGCTTTCCTCTGAAGCTCTGCGGGCGCTCCAGCGCCACCAAGCCGGGACTTCAAGTAACTAATTTAATTTTAAAAAAAACTTTAAAAAAAAATTGAAGTTTCAAAACCCTTTTGTGGCTTTCAAAGACTCCCACGACTTTCTTGCCAAGTGGAACACCCTGGCCGAGGCGCAGCGGCGAAGCGCGAACCCCCCACTGCAAATACCAGCAGCAGCAGCAGCAGCAGCAGCAGCAAGGCCGGCGAAGCCAGGCAAAGAAGGCGCAGCAGCAGCTTCGTGTTCTCCGTGCTGCGCCGAGTCTCCGGCTTTGCCTGCCTGTCCCAATTCTGCTGCGGGGTCTGCTGCAGCAGCTGCGTGGCGCTGCAGCTTGCTGCTGCAGCCTGGAGGCGAAGGTAGGCCATTTCGAGGCCCCCAGTGGTCCATTGGTCCACTTGCTGCAGCAACTTCCTGCTGCTTCTGCCTCCAGCTGCCAGCCCCTCCGCCGCGCAGCTGCGTCTCAAAAGAGAAGATCTGCTGCGCGTCAAGCTGATCTCGCAGGTGCGGCTGCTGCCAAGCAGCAGCAGCAGCTGGTCGCTGCTGCTGCTGCTGCTGCTGCTGAGCCAGCTCTCACTGGC